AGTTGCATTTTATATTTGTGACTGCAAACCAGTCTTAGTGACTTCGTGGGACACAGGAGCTAAACTAAATCCTCACACTCATCACCAATCATGCTTTCCACTTCAGGAGCGCTTTATTGTTGTCAGAGAACCAAGTGGCACACTGCGCAAAGCCTCTTGGGAAGAAAGGGACCGGATGATACAAATTTATTTCCCAAAACAAGGCCGTAGAGTTCTGCCACCAGTAATTTTCAAGGAAGAGAACATTAAGGTATGTGAGCTGTTTATTCTAGGCTCAGTGGGGATGATCTGTGGATGCTGGTGCTTGGCAGTTTGCCTTGATGAGTGTGAATTCTAATGGTAGCATGAACAGCTGCCACCTCTCACAATTGGCTCGTGTGTGATTTGAATCCAGATGTGGCCGTTGCAGCCTGTGTTGTTTCTTTATGCCTCTGGGTGGGCCTAGCGGGGTGTAAACTGTGGAATTCCTTCTGATCCCAGCCTGTGATTTCAGACCATGTACAACCAGGACCGGCACGCTGATGTCCTCAATCTCTGTGTCGCCCAATTTGAACCAGATTCCAAAGAGTATATCCAAGTGAGTGCATTTTATACCTTCTACAGCATGGCTTCAATACTGTTAGAGCAAGACTTTTAGTCTAGAGTTCTTGAAATGGGGAAGTGTCTGAAAACTTACTGAGTACAGATTCGTGCCGGGTGTGTATTTTATCAGTCAACCCTTAAGGATGAATTGAGGCTTGGAGAACTGAGTGCGCTGGCAGCTGCACTGCAAGTAGGTGGTAGGTTTGGGCCACATGTTGACAGTGCCCCCCACAGGAGCAAGGCTGTTTACACTGTCCACGTTGCATGTGTGTCTTACAACGGTGCTTGTGTTCATGGTGCCTTGTGTGTGTAAGGTGGTAGCATGGGTAGGTGGGGTGCTGGGTCAGAATCTGCCGTTGCATGACTATTTGGGTCCAGGTGCTGGGAAAATATGCAATAATCGTCATATCAGGCCTACAATGTTAGGTAATGAGTCACCAAATGCTCTCAGAGTGGTATTGAAGACTTCGTGGGAGGACGGGAACCCTGGCAGGGAGTGCAGAGGTATTTCAGGTGCAAGTGGATGAGCAGCAGCTGGCAACCCGAGTTTTCCTGTCAGTGAGTCAGGGAATGGGAAGATGGATGGGGCCACAGGCGACCTTGGCAGGCGTAGGGCACTTGGGTCAGGCTTTTCAAGGCCTTTTTTCTTTGAACTGGAGTTCATGCTTCCTACCCTGATTTTTGCTGCTTTTGGGATAGCATTGTGCAGTGACCTGCCTCAGTGCGGTGTCCCGCTGTATAGCTAGGATATAGTATAGCTTTCCCCTTGAGGGTCTTGCAAACTTTTCTGACCAAGCTGGTCTCCAACTGCAATCCCCTCAATCTCAGCCTTCCAGATAGCTAGGACTACAGGACTTGTGCCTGGTCTTTTGAATCCTTTTAAACAGAGGCATTCCCTATCTGAGTCCTTGTTTAGGAAGAACAATCTGGAAGGAGATCTGAAGGGACATTACTTAGTAAGATAACATGAGATAAGGGTAGATTCTTTTACTTTTAGGCTGTACTGGGGTTTGAACTCAGGATCTGCTTGCTTTGCTGGTTCCCTACCACTTGAGTCTTACCTCCTGTCCAGCTTTTTGCCAGTTATTTTTTTTCGGTCATGGGGCCTGAACTGAAGAGCTCAGGGACAAGGCTAGCACTCTACCACTCGAGCCACAGCGCCACTTCCAGCTTTTTCTGCTTATGTGGTGCTAAGGAATCGAACCCAGAGCCTCATGCCTGCAAGGCAAGCACTCTACTGCTGAGATACCTTCCCAGCCCCTGCCAGTTATTTTTGATAAGTCTTGGTTTTCTGCCCAGGCCTGACCCTGATCCTAGCTGAGCACCTAGGATTACAGTCATGAGCCACTGGTGCCCAGCTGAAAAAAGATTTTTCCCATTGGCCAAGAGATGGTGGCCTGTTACCAGTGGTCGATCTATAGGGACCTGGAGTATGGCTGCCTTAGATCTGACAAGGCCAGGCGTGCTTGGCGTTTGGCCGTCATCTAGCCCAGCGCTTCTTTACTGAGGCTCCCCTGCTAAGCTAAGGTGGCTGAGAGGAGTGGTACGACTCCTCCCTCCGGTGGACTGGTGAGGTGGAGGCTGGTGAGGTGGAGGCAGCTGGAGTCACTTTCCTCACGAGCGAGCACTCACCAGTCAGTGCAAACTGAATGCTGCTCCTTCCCTTTTGTTTACCTGTCTCTGAAGTGCATTTTACCTGACAGATTCATCACCAGACCTATGAAGACATAGACAGACACGGCAAGTATGACCTGTTACGCTCAACAAGGCACTTCGGTGGAATGGCCTGGTACTTTGTCAATAAGAAAATGATTGACGGTTTGCTGATTGACCAGATCCAAAGAGATTTGTAAGTATGGGCTGAGTAAGTAAAACAGCACATCTGACATCTGACGTTCAGCCATGGCGTCTTTGCCGCAGATGGAGGTTTTCATTGTGTATGGCATTACTCAGCCTTTCCTTGCCTGGCCTGCTTTTTGTTTGCCCCAAAGGGGTAAGTTCTCTGAAAGAACAGTGGCTTTGTTCTGGACAGTGTACTCTGTGCTGACTGTCCCTGGGTTTACCAGTTCTCCTGGGTACCCATGAACTTTCAAGATTCTTGAGAGGAAATATAAAGATGATGTGAGCTCTAACAGGTGGCGTTTTCTAGTAGAAATAGTTACAGGATTTTCCAGTAAAAATTGTCATTTAACTTACAAAAATTATTTTTGCTTTGGATTACCCTGGCTTTTGCAAAATTCCTACGTCATCAGACAAGTGAGTCTGGTTAACTTAAGGGTACACAGGCAGGCAAGGCATTTGGGACCAGAAGGTGCATTGTGTGGTCTAGGGTGGAGCCCACATCTCATAGAGCATTGTTTGTGGTGACTGCCAGGCCAGTGCTTCTCTGGTAGTGTGATTTCAGAAGGCCGGGGTGGGTGTGGGGGTGGAGGTATGTATTCCTTCATGCCCCCCCAGGGTGATGGGGGCTGCCTTTATGAATTGACTATTTAGCAAGCTTACTATTCATATGCTCTCGTAAGCATTAGAGTAACTCAGAAATACCTCAGTTTGAAAATTAACGTTCTCTACTGCAAGGTGGTGACATCTGTAAACTTTAATCTGCTGGGAGGGAGCTTTGAGTACAGAACCCCACTGGGTTGTTTTCAGCAGTGGGCGCTACAGCCCAAAGTCCCGGACAGCAGTGCGTTTCCACACAAACCATTTCAGACTCAGTCAAGATAGGCTGCTGATGTGTCTGACCTGCTCAACTTCCGGTTTGCCTCACTAGGAAGACTGCAGTAGAGTGTCCTGTGGGTGTTCTACTGGTCTAGGGTCTTTTCTTGGGATTCTAGGGGTCCTTACAGAGGTGTGCCACTAACAGCAGGTGACTTGGAGGACCCTCTGTCTCTTCGTCTGGTTGTATTGTACTCTTCAGTGTTGGTGAAGCGGGCTGGCCTGGACATCATCTAACCTTATAGAATGTTGCGTCTTTGGAAAAGGATGTTCCAGTTCCAAAAAGAACACAGCAATGTTTAGAATATGCTCCCCTCATAAATTAGCCCCCTGCCTACCTCATGGCAAGGGAGATTAGTCAGTTTTTTTTTTCCCTGAATGAGTTCCCCCTGCCATGAGGGAAATCTCAAATACAGCTTAGCTTGAAGTTGGCGCACACTTTCAGGGGACTGAAGCAAATGAGGCCTCCCTCCTCCCATAACGTTAACCTGTTCACTTTCAGAGTTGATGATGCCACCAGCCTAGTCCAGCTCTATCACATGCTGCATCCAGATGGCCAGTCAGCCCGCGAGGCCAAAGAGCAGGCTGCTGAGGGAGTAAACTTAATTAAGGTAAAGCGTCTTTTCACGGTGCCCTGTCTTGTGATAATTGATTTGGGAAAAATTCAGAAGTGGGCCATATTTAATAGTAACAAAGTAGATTTGTGAACATGGGACATCTGTATGGCTACAGCCCCTATTTTTCTAGTTCCTGGACAATCAAAATAGGCAGGTGCATCTGAGGTAGCCAAGTTACCAGCAGGGCAGGGTGGAGGCTTAGAAGATGGCCAGGAATGGCTTCCTGCCCTTCACCCTGGGCACCTTTCACCAGGGGAGGGGTCTGGCTTGGGTTTACATTGTCTACTGGAGGCCAGATGGTATTTTCAGGAAGGGGAGATTCCTGAGTAATCTTTCTAGGGCTCAGCTTAGACATGGTTTTGGGGAATGGGCTTTCCAATAGTGTTTTGCATTCTGCAACACAGCTCTCCTTACTAAGGTCAGAATGATGTCACTGGCAGCCAGGTAGAATTGGTGATGGTCACATGGGTTATGGAGAAGATTGGAGTCTACTAGTTCTCATCCTCTCAGGCAGTGAGGCTTAGAATTAGCATTATGTGATTGTGTTGCTCTATTTTAAGAGGGACAATTACTGTGAAATATGGAAGAACCTAAATGGGCTCTTTTTTCCTATTAGAGAAATGCTAATCATGACTTGACACTGCTGTATCAATAGTGGATACCGTACTGCTTTAACACGGTTTTAAACACCATTTTAAACAGGTTTTTGCAAAAACAGAAGCACAGAAGGGAGCCTATCTAGAGTTAACACTACAAACTTACCAAGAAGCCTTCGTAAGCCAATCAGCAGCTTCCTGAAGATATGTAAGAAGATACATTTCACTAAATATGTCCTCTTTTTAAAATGTTCTTTTGTAGTTTTCTATAACTTCCTTTCTAAAAGTATAAACTGTTGCTCTACATAATAAAAGACAGCACAGAAAGTGTATACAAGAGAAGCAGCTTGCTAAGACTAGACAGTCGCTGACTGCAGAAATGTTCCAGAAAATACTGGACATGAGTCAGGGGATACTAAGCTCCCTGGCCAGCCAAGCTGCACAGACCACAGCAGATTTCCATTGTTCAGAAAGGAGGAAACAAGTTTTTCATTGATTCAAAAGGTGTTTATGGGATATGGTCTAACAAAGAAACATAGTAATTTAAATGCTGCACATAAATTCCTCTTAAGAGGAGGCTGAGCTGACCCTTTGGGCTGACTGCGCCTACATACAAAAATTGAGGGAGTTTCTCAGAGTTCTGAGCACTGAGGTGAGGGTGGGGATCAATGCCTTTATATAATAATAAAAGGAGTAAGATTACATCAGTCATCCAGAATGTCTTCATCCAGATTGATGTCTATTGTGTCAATATCTTCTAATTCCAGATTATCCAAATCCACTTCTAGTTCAAGTAAGCTCTGCAAATGAAAAAGGAAGTTACATAGTACTGGGTTAACAGAACTAAATTTCCTTCACAGCATCCCACCACAAAGCCCTGCTCAGAAACTGATTGTGTAAGCTGCAGAAGCTTTTTGCTGCTATGGGAGAAGGGGGGGAGTCTGACCCACCTTTTCATCCTTGGTGGCCGTCTGGGAGGTGCAGATAACTGGAGTGGGGGAGGGAGACTTTCCCTCCAGTTCCTGAAAGTCCAAGCAAAGGTACTTATGAAGACAAAGGAGGTTTCCCTGGGAAAAGGAGACAGTGTCCACTAACCTGCTGTGCTGTGGGTCTGGAGGGCTGGAATCCTTTTGCCTCTTCCATAACGTTTCTTTCTTCATTTGGCTGTGAGGAAATGAGCAGTGATGCATGCTGGCTCTCACGTCATGCCTGACGGAGGAGCGCCGCCCAGACCCCAGGTCCTGTGCTGCTACTCACCGTGACAAGTGGGTACTGTTTGGCAGGCCACAAGTCAGCATGCGTTTCTTTCACCCACTCTTCAACCACAAAGGCTTCTTTTAGTCCAGGGAAAAGGTTTTCGTATTCTGTTGGGTCAGCGAGAGATTCTGCTGCTTTCTGGTTGACTTTGGAAAGATTCTCCCTCCAGAGTTTCACCACCCTGTGAACCAAGCAGGCACCAAGTAAGTGTGCACTGGCTGTGCTAGATAGAAACACTGGAATATAATGCAAGTCTTACCTTGAAACCTGGCTGGGTAAGTAGGTCCGGGCCAGGAAGGCAGCCTCTGGCAGTCTTCCGGTTCGAATCAGGAGTTCTAGGCATGCATCAAGCCTAAGGTAAAAAAGGCAGCACTATGGCATCCTTCCTCTCTGCACCCTCCCTCTCTCCTTTTCTCCCTCCCCCTCTCTCTTTCTGCCTCTTCCCCTTTCTCCTCCCTTTCCTCCCTCTTCTCTCCTCTCCCCCCTTCCCTCTCTCTCCCTCCTCTTCCCCTTTCTCCTCTCTTCCCTCTCTCTCCTCTCCCCCCTTCCCTGTCTCTCCCTCCTCCTCCCTCCCTTCTCTCTACCATGGCCACTGAGTTTTACTGGGTGGCAGGCAGGTCCACCAATGTAACTAGCTGCCAGTTTGAGGTGCAACTTCTGCACGTTATGGCTGGACCTTCACCCTCCCTAGTGCTTGCCATGAACAGGCCAAGGCCGTCCAGTCTGGGTAGTCACCTGCTGCACAATGCAGTGCTGCAGCCGTCACTGGGAGGCTGCTGAGAAATGGGCTCCAAAGCCTTCCCACCCTGCGCTGTTTAGTCCCAGTTAGATGTGATGCTGGAGAGCACAGATTGAAGGTCACTGCAAGCAAGGCAGCACGGCCTTCTGCCACCCACCATTCCCCCCGTCCTCGCATCAAGACCATGGCTTATACTTACTTGCCCTGTAAAAAGTAGCTCATGAACGCCACGTTGTTCTTGCCATCCCTCTCTGCGCCCTCTGCGAGCTTGTTGACCATGCTTGCGTTTCCGGAGGCAGTGGCCAAGAGCAGCAGGCCCCCGTAGTCCTGGGCGTGGTGCAGGCACTCCTGGGCTAGGCCAAATTGGCATTTACTGATGGCGAGTTCAGCGAGCTGTTTCCACTTCTGCTCTGACTGCAAGAAAGAGCTGCATGTTAAAATGTCTGACGTCCCCACATGACTCAGTTTTAAGTCTTGAACATGCTGGCAGTGGTGAGGACATGAATGAGTAAATACAGGTATATCATATATCTAATAGAGATGGATGTCGACAGAAGAAACTTGTTAGTTCTATCAAAACAAGGCATAAATTAAGATGAGGAAATACAAATGATAGTTACCTTGCAATCACCTGCATGAGCAAATACCATGTTTTTAAAAGGAGAGAAAAACTGTCCTTAAGTGTTTACTATTATGTACAGCTTCTCAGAAGTAGAGTTCCACAAGTGATTGATTTTAACACAGCATAGCTAGGATTTATGCAGCCCAGTCTAAAATTAACTTACGAGTAACTGCTAGACTTCAGTACACAACGTTGCTGAACTGTCTTGTCAAGGTCAGAGCCCTTTTGTAAAAGCAACCCCCGGCCTGCCATTTCAGGACACTGGCACACTGCTATTCTTCCTGTTCTTGGTCAGAGTTCCCAGATTACCTTAAATCTTTTTTTCCCCCTCTCATAAAACAATCTTAATCCCAGAAAACACTTCAAATTACAATGCCAAGGCTACTTTGAACACAATCTAATTCATTTGTGGAAAAATTAATGCATCTTTAGAGGCAAAATGACTCACCAAGTAAGTCACTAATCTTTTTCAACCAAACGTACTTATTTCCCATCAGTTAAAAAAATTTATGAAGCAGTACATACCTCTGCTTCCACTGCTAACTGGTACGCAATTTTTAACTCTCCAAGTTGGAGAGCAAGCTCAAAACGATGCTCAGGATCCGTGGACACAGTCAGAGCCTGCTGCTTAAAGCCCTGAAGAATTCAAAGAATACAGTGTACGCTCATCCCTCTGCAGACAAGTCTCACAACTTAAAAGAAGCAAATAAAATACTAATCAAGCCTGGTGCCAGTGGCTCACGCCTGTCATCCTAGCTACTCAGGAGGCTGAGATCTGAGATTGTGGTTCAAAGCCAGACCATTCAGAAAAGTCTGACTTATCTCCATCCACTTAATCACTAGGGTAAACCTGAAGTGGTGTTGTGGTTCAAGTGGTAGAGCGCTGGCCTATGAGCTGAAGAGCTCAGGGACAGCGCCCAGGCCCAGAGTTTAAGCCCCACGACCCACAAAAAATAAAGATAAAATACTGATTAGACAAATTAAGGAGTTAACTGATAAACCTGGAAGATAAAATATTCAATTACACGATGCCCATTTTGCTCTGGGCCCAGCCACCGTGGTGGTCCTGCCTCCTCTTCCCTGCTGGCTGAGACAGGTGCACTCCATCACAGAGCCCTTGGTAGAGTCTCAAACATTTATGCCCTCGCCAGCCTGAAACCATATCCCTGTCTCCTGCCTGCCTTGTGGCTGTAGCTTTCTCAGCAACGAGGTCTACTGTTTTTCTTTTTTTTTTTTTTAAAGACAATTTAAGATGGCCAGTGCATACTAACAATTCTTTTTTTTTTGGGTCCGGTCATGGGGCCTGAACTCTGGCCTGGGCGCTGTCCCTCAGCTCTTCAGCTCAAGGCTAGCGCTCTACCACTTGAGCCACAGCGCCACTCCCGGCTTTTTTCATTTTGCTTATGTGGTGCTGAGGAATTGAACCCAGGGCCTCAGGCATGCAAGGCAAGCGCTCTACCACTGAGCCACCTTCCCAGCCCTAACAATTCTTTCAAAACGAAAAGGAATAACTTACTTGCTTTTCCAGGAAGTGTGCTACTCTGGTCCTCTGTTCCTTTGGAATGGTAGGAAGAACCTTATCGGCCATGCCAAAATCTCTCCGCATGACGGCTGTCTGGTATTCCAGGACTGACACGAGCAGGGAGTAGCTAACGATGTTCAGTTCCTTATCCCCCAGGTAAAGCCGGTTGTCTTTAGGAATGTAACCCAGGAGATACATCGTCCTGTGGTAGGACAAAAAAAAAAAGATAAATGCGAGAGCGGCCCACACCTTCAGTTACACATGAAAATGCCTCCCTCAAAATCAACGTGATTTTGGTTACAATAGGCAGCTTCCTAAAACCTCAATACAAAAAAAAATCTACTTATCAGTGCTGCAAATCAGCAGGTTTTGTTTTAAAGGCATATTTTTAAAATGAGAAATCTGAAAGAGGAAAACAGAATGGTAGCTACCTGTCCAAGTGGGCAATGGTGACTATTTCTCCTCCGACATAATAATTTAATCTGTTCACAGAACTCGTATAAATGAAGCAGTCCCCTACCCACAGCCCTGTTTTCACAATTTCCTGGATCTCACCAAGAACCTGGGAGAAAGAAAACGGATTATTACCATCTTACCCAGCATTAGTAAAGCTGTCATTTGTGAGAAGCTGAATATAATGAGTGCTAAGGTAACAGAATGTAAGGTAAAATTATTCCAAGAAGGAAAATCTATCTTAAAAACATCCTAGTGGAGGGCTGGGAAGGTGGCTCAGTGGTAGAGTGCTTGCCTTGCATGCCTGAGGCCCTGGGTTCGATTCCTCAGCACCACATAAGCAAAAAGAAAAAAGCCAAGAGTGGCGCTGTGGCTCAAGTGGTATAGCGCTAGCCTTGAGCTGAAGAGCTGAGGGACAGCGCCCAGGCCCAGAGTTCAGGCCCCATGACTGGACACCCCCTCCCCCCCAAAAAAAACAACAAACATCCTAGTGGAGGTGTGGTTTGAGTGGTAGTGTGACAACCTTAAGTACTAGCATCCTGGCATGCATGTGCATACATACACATACAGATACTAAGGTGACTCCTTGTAATGTTAAATCTACTACTGGGTCCTAACTGTGATGTAAATCTCATCTCCCTATCTCTGTGGTGTGTGGTTTATCTTTTCCTTTTTTTTTTTTTTTTTTTGGGTCCAGTCATGGGGCCTGAACTCTGGGCCTGGGCGCTGTCCCTCAGCTCTTCAGCTCAAGGCTAGCGCTCTACCACTTGAGCCACAGCGCCACTTCCGGCTTAATTTTTCTGCCTATGTGGTGTTGTGGAATCGAACCCAGGGCCTCATATGCATGCAAGGCAAGCGCTCTACCACTGAGCAACCTTCCCAGCCCCTATCTTTTCCATTTGAGAGTTCATTGAAATCATTCCAGCTAAACAGAGTCTTAGAATCAGAGATCAGTTTCATGATTCCTTACTGAAACGTTGGTCACAGTGAAATCTAAAGACCTCCTAAAATTAAAGCACAAATTTCTTTTAAAACTATTTACCTTTACACTCTGGTCTTCGAGCCAAGATTTTTAATTTTCACCTTTCACCAAAACTCCTTACATAACCTCCATAAACCTATTTACAATGAAATGTCCATTTTAAGAACATGTAGCCTTTCTAGAACAAACTACCTCAAAGGCGTCTTCAATGCCATCTTCTGTCACTCCCTCGTGGGTTTCCTGTGCAGCCAGGACTTTCTCTGACAGGTACTTCAGGATAAAGAATGATTCCTCGGTGGCAATGCAGACTAGCTCTCCAGAATCAGACCAGAAAATCTGTCACATCACAACCAAAAAATAGACAAGTGATTTGGCTGAGTGGGTGTGACAAACTGTAAGCATTAGTTTCTTACGGAGCCTTCAGTATGCCCTTCACATGCTATGTAGAGTACTGGCGCACACACATGTGAGACAGCGCGGGCGGGGCTGTTCCTTTCAAGCTCGGCAGTGGGAAGACCCAAGAGGAGACCAGAAGCTGCCGTGCTCTGGAGGGCTGGCCTGTTTCCTCTCGCGCTAGATGGTGCTGCTTACCCTTAATTTTCATTACTTCCAACCCTTAAGAGTCTTTAGAGATTTCCTTCCTAGTCACCGCCTGTAATGAAATTTCAAAGCTACAGATGAACTGAGAATTGTCACCTAGACTTTAAGCACCCATTGTGGGTCAAAAGTGCTGCTGAGCTGCTGGGAGCTTCTCAGGCCTTTCAGGGACTCCTTGGCTTTGTCTTCGAAGCACATGTTTTTTTTACTCCACCAAAAGCCATTTAGAATAGGAACGGAATTTGTGTAACTTTTTACGCTTTTCAGAATATCCAGTGTTCACTGCCTCATTCAAACACCAACTCACTCAAATGCCACCATCCTGAGGTGCCTGGCATCATGTTGAACACCAGGGGTTAGGGAGAGCAAGCAAAGATGCACACACTACAAGCAGCAAGGGGAGGAAAACTCACGTGTTTGGGCTGAATTTCAATTCTGCGTATGAGCTCTGTATTGTCCCAGTCATAGAAGGCTAGGCCATTGACAGACCTCACCCCCAACAGGAAGCCTCCATAGATACCTCCAAGGACAGAGGAAGACTGAGTTAGATGCTCTGGAGCCATTGCCACACTTCTACAAATGCGTCAGAAATCAAGTACTCACTTTCAGCTCCAAAGTCTGGTTTAAACGATTTTTTTTCCTTGAAGTTCTTAAATATCTTTACAACACTGTTGCTCTCTCTTATTGCATATCTGAAGGGGGAAAAGGCAAACAGCATGTTATATACTAGACCCTAACTCCATGAAACATGGGAAATGCCTTTGAATACTTTTCAGTAATGATGAAAAAATACGAAAGGACTCTCAATAGTTACTTCATTTCAATCATAAGTGGCTTGCAAACCATCTTAAAGTTGGAGAAGGCTCCAACACCAATGGGTGAGCAGCTAGACTGGTGCACTCTTCACACACAGGGGCCCATCATGGAGGCTGAGTGGAGAGGGCCAGCATGCACAGGATGCCACTAATGCACAACTCCAAGACCATGGTTTAGATCGTAAGAAAAGCAGATTGATGAGGCCTGGGGTGGGTATGGAAATGGGTTGATGGTTAAGGTATATGCAGGGGACAACAGAAGTGCTCTATGAATTTGTATTCTGTACTTTGTGTATGATAAATTACATACATCTGTCCAAATCCTGGAAATGTGTGTATGCCTGACGGGAAGCCTGCCACAGCGCCCCATTTGCCGTCTTCAGGACTGCCTGGATGTCTGTGACCATGTGAGGTGTGCACTCTACGCAGAGTGCTCTGCTTGGGACAGATGCCAAGCACTGAGGACAAAGCTGAAAGGTGGGACCAGCACAGGGCTGAGAAGTGAGGAGCCCGAGCCACGCCGTGCTGAAGTGACCACAAGGTTCCCTACAGTGTGGAGAACTGCGTGTCCACCAGTGCGTTGATGGGGGATATGAAGCGATCGCAACGGCGCTCTCCTTCAGTACAGGTTGTGTTAAGCATCTTAAATGCATCTCTTACATGGTGCTCTGGCTAACGTCACCTTACAGCTGGGAGCAGGAAGCAGCAGAACATCTGCCCACACCGTGAAGACACAGGAGATGCCAAAGCCCCAACTGTGTCACACGAACTTGACAGGCTTCTCAAGGGAACAGTGACTGGCACGTTAGTCATGTGCTTCCCCATCCATGAGAACGGTTTATAGTATCCCAGATTCAGACAGAAATGTGTGAAGAGGAGGAGGTGGTGACATCAGAGGGTGGCTTTTTTGAAAGACACACTGATGCCATCCATACAGCACCTCTCCAACCTAGCTGGGGAAAGGCAGCACCACGGACACCTAGAACCTGTCATGTCAGGCCTACTTTGACTTGAGCCCGTCAGCACCCAGTCCTGCCATAGGCTTCATCGTAGAAACGGTGCTGAGCCCCAATTTTAGTGTGCTATTAGATCAGCCTGACAGCTCATACTAAATGGAGAAAGGACAAAAAGCTCTTGATTACACCAGCTGCCTTCTACTGGGCAGCTACTGAACCATAAACATCCTCTACACAGCGGCTCCCGACAGCCATCTACAATTGGGGCAAATGGAACATCAAGCAGTGTGAACTTACTCTGAGGAGTCGTGAGCCCAGGCAAACTCCTGGGCAGAGCCAAAGCTCTTGTTTCTCAAGGCCATTGCTGTGTAGATGATGTATTCCCCATCACCGCAGACCACAACAAACCTACAAGTTACACAAGGCAGGGAGGAAGAGGACAGAGGAGTTAGAAAGCAGTAATTCTCATTTAGGGTAAACAGTTTGGATTACATGCTATTTTGGCCAATTATTAACAACTTAGAATCGACTAAAGTTCTGTTACATGGAGTTGCTGTGGAGAGAGTCACTGCAGTGGCCTTGGCTTGGGAGCAAGGGGACTGGGGAGAGGAGGAGGAGCGCAGTGGACACAGGTGGAGGACTTAACCATCAGTGCTCTGGGCTGGGCACCAAGATGCCCTGCACACTGCCTGGGAGACCTCACCACAAGAGGGCACTAACGACTTTATTAGAAATACCTTCAGGGGAAAAAGGGATGATGCTGACCAAGAAGCACTCATACCTTGGAACTGTAACCCCTCTGTGATGTCATCGCAGTAAATAAAAGTACCTCGGCTTTTTAAGACTGTTCAATTCATCAAAATTAGCAGGACGGTTTAACAATGGGAAAAGTAGACTGCAGTATGGAATTTCCCAGTAGACATAAACAACTCTCCTCAGACTTTTCACAAGACTGTAATGGCGGTCACCAGATGGCTGCCAACAGTTTTAAGATACATGAAGGAAAACCATTTTTTATTACCCATTGCAGAATGTATTCAAGTTAGTCCACCTTCCCCAACAGTTACCAACCTTCTTAAGAGCACGGGGTCAGCAAGTGCTAGTGAGCATCTACTAAGTACCTGAGGTGGTGAAGCACTAAATAAACATGCAACCCCACTGAACTGTCCACCTGCATGTTGTCTATGTCAGCTGGCCCTGCCGTCTGCATCTGGTGGGGATGCTGAGGCCCGGGAAAAGGCAGCGGGGATTAGTGGAAGCGCCTGCTCTTAACACCCGCAGGAGCTCATGTGCACCGCTGGGGATGGCTTACCGCCCATTGGGATTGTGCTGTATGGTCTGAGGGTATATTTCACAACTGCCCATGTCCTTCACTGCCAGAGGCAACCTTTCTCCATCTTTAATTTCGGCATCTCCCATTGCTTTGAGATTGGCCTGCTGGACCTCTGAATGCTTGGCCCAAATTATCTTCCCATTGGCATCCATGGACATGGCAGGTTCCTCCCGACCGAGCTGCAAGAGTTACAGATGGCTCTTAGCAATGAAAAGGAAAACACCACAAACAAACCTTCAGAGAGGTCTACGCCCTTCTTGCCAGGCAAGTGATGTCTAGTGCGTGATGAAAGAGGACAGCGATGGCTTCGCCTGTCGTCTGCGAGAGACAGCAGCACCAGTACCTTAACGATGATGCTCCCCTCATCGTAGCCCAGAGCCACATTGTTGGACCCTCGCAGACTGGCCACACACCACACCCGCTCCATTCCGTAATTCAGTGTGCTCTCAAGCCGGTAGGTGCTGGAGTGCCAGATGCGCACCGTGCCTAAAAAGATGTGAGCAGCCATCAATCAAGTGTCAGGTGAACTTTTTATGTCAGGTTTCATGGAAGATTCCCCATTCCAGGAGAAAGCACTTCCTTACCATGGTCTAATACTCTATTTATAGGACTTACAAAGCAACAGAAACACGAGAGTAGAAAACCTGCAAGAAGCCAAAACTAGAAAAGTGACTTTAGATGTAAAGTAGTGACGGGGCTCTCTGGGTAGAGTGCTGTGTGCCAGCTGCTTTGGGTGTGGGCCTAGAAAGCTAGGCGGTGGCCCACAGTGCTGTATCATAGCAAGTGCCCAAACCACACATTCACAAAGGGCAGAGCCTGAAAACAAACCCAGGGTTGTCTCCCAAGCACATGCTTGCTCCGTTTTTCTTTAGAACCCCTGGGTGTCCCCTTGTGTAAGTGACAGAGACAAAAACACATTAGCATGATGATGATGATGATGCCGCCCCTCTATGCTCTGATAGTGTAAGTCTAGAACTTGAATAATCATCGGAATCCTCCCCCGTGGCTCAGGGCCACCACTTGGTTTAAACACAGAGCGCTGCGCTGCAGCTTACCATCTTCGGAGCCCGTGATGATGATGGGCAGCTCAGGGTGAAAGCTGGCGCAGGATACGTTCTGGGCGTGGCCCTCCAGTGTCTGCACGCACGTTTTGTTCTGTAACATGACATAGAGGAAGAGTTCACTAGTGGAACACGTTGTACAACTTCAGTTTTCTTAACCCAGAGACACTATGTAAACGATAGTGATTATGGTGACCTAAATGGATCCAATACAAAACAACTTATTACCTCCTGTATTCATATTTAAGACTTACTGTACATATAATCATCGTGTTTGAAGAAGGATCAAGAGATTTATGTTTTTCACCTAAACATAACTTCTCTAACTCTTACGGCTTTCTCCTCACTCTTCAACCCTTCCATCTATGAATTAAGATAGAGCTGCTTTAGCTAGTAATACTTTCATTCGAAATTTAAGAACTTGAAAAAGTTTCAAAGCATACCTGTTTTTTTAGGCCTAACTTTATTAACTGTTCATAGGAATTTTTGGTGTGAGATACAAAAAAAAGTATAGGGAAAGGTTAGAGACAGAAGACATGGTAGGGAGAGCTCATAACTGCATTTACAAGAGTTCTATGTGAGAAAAAAGGCATGACATGACTCACTATATATGCAAGTTAGTCAATTAGAATAGTCAAGCATGTGTAATTTACATTACAATGTAAAATTTTCTAAGTTACTGAATAAAAAATATGCTGGTGTTATTTATTTATTATTTATTTATTTTTGGCCGGTCATGGGGCTTGAACTCTGGGTTTGGGCACTGTCCCTGCGCTCTTCAGCTCAAGGCTAGCGCTCTACCGCTTGAGCCACAGGGCTATTTTTGGTTTTCTAGTGGTTTATTGGAGATAAGAGTCTCATGAGGTGGAGTTCTCAAGATGGCGACGGGGCAGTAGGGAAACGCCACAGCTCTCTCCAACCAAAAAGAGAGTTCGAGTTCCAACCTTTAATCTCCCCAAGAGACCGACAACAACAAAAAGACGAACACTCAGAGAAAAACCAGAGGTGGAAAATAACAAAAAAAGAAAGAGAGGAAAAGAAGAATTTCAGAACAGAGAAGAGCGAAGACCCCTCCCCCAACCTTTACTGGCCGCGCGGCAGTGTGCCAAGCCGCCGGCCAGCCGGCCCGGCGGGGGCTGCCGGAGCCACAGAGACACAGGGGGCTGCTTGCAGATCACCAGGTACGGGATTGCAGAACAGCGGATCGCCAGGAACAGAGAAACCTACCAGCCGGGAGTCTCCAGGAGGATCCCACCCCACCCATCACTCTCCACCGGAGCGGAGAGGCTCCATCCCGCCAAAGCCGCCCGGCACCAGCAGCGCCACAAAGGGACCTGTCGCGATCGCAACGACCCGGCGGGGGGCCGCCCAACCCAGCCCGCAACCACCCCAACTGAACTCGGACTGCAACAACAACTGACGGACTGCAACAACAACTGACGACCTACAGGGTGAGTACCCATCAGGGGACAGGGAATCCATCAAGGGAGACCAGAGCTGGAGGGAATCCCCAGACCCTGACCTAGACTCCCTACCCCAACACCCGGACCACAGGACCCACTAAAACTGGGAACTGTTCGAGAGCCCCACCAGCCGGTGGAGCACACTCTGCTGGCCAGGCCAGAGCAAGAGCGCCCCGGGAAGGGAGCTTAAATGCTCAAGCCAGGAACAGTGCCCCTGGGTCAAGACTACCAACAGTAGAAGAAATTTGAACTGTGTCCTCCAGGCTGCATAACCAAGGTGGTATACACATTAGCACAGGCCTAACGAGCGCGCTCCAGGCTGGGGCCGGAACCAGGCCAGGGGACCGGCGCCTGAACAAAGCAAAAAGGGTCAGAAGTGGGGCTGTGGCTCAAATGGTAGGGTGCCAGCCCTGAGCTGAAGAGCTGAGGGACAGCACCCAAACCTAGAGCTCAAGCCCACAACCAGCCCAAAACAAACAAACAAAAACACATCAGGAGCCCATAGCAGACTCCAGTATTTGGGAGAGTGCATCCAGAGCATCTGATCTTCCCAAGAGCACCCGCAGGAGCAAACACAAGCAGTCTAGGCTGCTCAACCCTTCCAAAGGCGGGAATTGCTACAGCAGAGAGCTGAGAATCCTAAGTGAATAGCAGCTGGAAATAGGCTCCCAACAGAATCCAGATCAGGCACAGACTCTCTCTACCAATACAGAATCAGCAACCAAGCAAAGACAGACACACCAAAACAAGATTGAAGAGCAGTCTCCTGAACCCCCATGCGAAAATCACAGAGAAAAATCACAAGGTTTACCACTACCCAGGACAGCAAGCTCACCTCAAAAGCCAGCAGCCACGCAGGGGAGAGCCCCAGTGGGAGCAAAGCAGGAATGGAAGACAAAAACTACATCCAAGGGTTGCTGGAGGCAATGACTCAAGAAATAAAGCGAGAAATGGATCAGAAATTGAAAGAGCACAAGGATGAACTATCAAAAGATATACAGGATATCAAACAAAAATTGGATGCAAAAATAGAAGCTGCACAAACCTCAGTAAGAAGTGAGATAAACGCCAAATTAGAGGTAATGCATACTGATATCACCTCATTGAGAGGTGAGATCAGTACTCTGAGAACCAACATTGAATCCATAAAGGGATCCATTTCCATCATGCAAACCACAATAGAAGCCACGGTCAACAGAGTGAATGAAATGGAAGGTAGAGTGTCAGATACAGAAGACAGAATACACCAACTGGACCAAAAAGTGACAGATATGGAAAAATCACTCAAATTAAACCAAAGGGAAATTCAAGAGCAAGCAGATAATGCTAAAAAATTTAACCTTCGCATAATCGGAGTGGACGAAGGTGAGGAATTCCAGAGCAAGGGAATGCAACACCTATTTAACAAGATAGTCAATGAAAATTTTCCCCACCTCAAAAACGACCATCTTAACTACATCACAAAAGCTTATCGAACACCCAACAAGCAAGATCCCAGGAGAAACACTTCTAGGCACATAATAGTAACAATGATGGATCTGAATAATAAGGAAACAATCCTGCATGCAGCAAAAATGAAGAAGGAGCTATACTACAACGGGAAAAAAATTAGAATCACTGCAGATCTCTCCACACAAACAATGAATGCAAGAAAAGCCTGGGAAAGCACCATACGAGCCCTGAGAGCCAATAACTGCCAACCCAGACTGATATACCCGGCAAAGCTAGCATTCACATTCGATGGAGAACTGAAAACTTTTAATAGCAAAGAAAAACTAAATGAATACATAAACATTAAGCCAGCATTACAAAGAATTCTAAGAGGGGGGACACAACCTGAAGAAAGCAACCAGGAACTGGGACCTGCCCCAAACAGGCATTACTCAAAGTCTAACTGAGCAAGCACAGGAGGAAAGGAAAGAAGAAAAACTTAGGAAAACGGAATGGCAGGGACAACAATGCATCTCTCTATACTTTCTCTTAATATAAATGGGCTGAATTCGCCAATTAAAAGAAAACGAACTGAGGACTGGATCAGAAAACAAGACCCATCCATCTGTTGCCTTCAGGAGACCCACCTCTCAGCCAAACATACAAACAAACTCAGAGTGAAGGGGTGGAAAAGGATCTACCAATCAAATTCCCCCAATAAGAAAGCAGGTGTAGCTATCCTGATATCTGACAAAATAAACTTTTCATTAAAATCAGTACAGAAAGACAAGGACGGACATTACATATTAATAAAGGGAACAATCCAAGAGGAGGATATAACCATCATCAACTTATATGCCCCAAATATCGGTGCACCCAGATATGTTAAACAAATGCTCTCAAACTTACAGAATAAAATAGATCCCAATACGATAATACTAGGAGACTTTAACACGCCACTCTCACCAAAGGACAGGTCTACCAACCAGAGGATTGGCAAAGAAGCTACCGAATTAAGTGAGGCCATACTTCAAGCGGAATTAACTGACATCTACCGAGTATTTCACCCTAAAACAACACAGTACACATTCTTCTCAGCAGCTCATGGAACTTTCTCCAAAATAGACCATATCATAGTTCATTCAAGGAACTTAAGCAAATACAAAGGGATCGACATAATCCCCTGTATCCTATCTGACCACAGTGGAATCAAGCTAGCTCTCAATAACAAAGCATACCGCAGAAATTTCTCTAATACATGGAAATTGAACAGCACACTCCTTAACAAGGCCTGGGTAACAGAAGAGATCAGAGAAGAAATAAAGCATTTCCTAGAACTCAATGAAAATGAAAACACCTCACAAAGAAACTTGTGGGACACAGCAAAAGCAGTCCTGAGGGGCAAATTTATTGCCCTCAGTGCCCACATCAAGAGAATGGAGACAGACCAAGTAAATAATCTCATGTTGCAACTAAAACAGCTAGAAAAACAAGAAAAAATGGGACCTAAAGCTACTAGACGAAGCCAGATAACCAAATTGAGAGCAGAGATTAACCAATTAGAAAATCAGAAAACCATAACCAAAATAAACCAAACAAAAAGCTGGTTCTTTGAAAAAATAAACAAAATTGATGGCCCGTTGGCAAGATTAATTAAAAAAAGAAGAGAGGAAACCCATATTAATAGGATTAGGGATGCCACGGGAAACATCACAACACGTACCCAAGATATCCAAACAATTCTAACAGACTACTTTCAAAAGCTATACTCTCTAAAGGAAGAAAATCTGGCGGAAATGGATGCATTTTTAGAGAAATACAAGTTACCCAAACTGAGCAAAGAAGAAGTTAACCAATTAAATAAGCCAATATCCTATAATGAGATACAGGAAGCTATCAAAAGTCTTCCAACAAAAAAAAGCCCAGGACCAGATGGATTCACAGCAGAATTCTATAAGACCTTTAAAGAAGAACTAATACCCATACTCCTCAAGCTCTTCAGAGAAACAGAGAAGGAGGGAGCTATCCCAAACTCATTCTACGAAGCCAATATCACACTCATCCCCAAACCAGGCAAAGACCCAACCAAAAAGGAGAATTACAGGCCCATCTCCTTGATGAACACAGATGCAAAGATCCTTAACAAGATTCTAGCTAACAGAATCCAGAAACACATAAAAAAAATAATACACTATGATCAGGTAGGCTTCATCCCAGAGACACAGGGATGGTTTAACATACGTAAGTCAATAAATGTAATCCAGCATATCAACAGAGCCAAGGTCAAGAATCACATGATTATCGCCACAGATGCAGAAAAGGCCTTTGATAAAATTCAACATTCATTCATGCTAAAAGCTCTGGAGAAAATAGGAATAGAAGGAACATTTCTAAAAACAATAAAAGCCATTTATGACAGACCAATAGCCAATATTATACTTAATGGGGAAAAGCTACAACCAATCCTCCTAAAAACAGGAACAAGGCAAGGATGTCCACTGTCTCCACTCCTCTTCAACATAGTCCTAGAACCCTTAGCCAGGGCAATAAGGCAAGAAAAAGACATTAAAGGGATCCGCATAGGGAAAGAAGAAGTGAAACTATCCCTTTTTGCAGACGACATGATACTATACCTCCACGATCCCAAAAACTCCATCCCCAAACTTTTAGAAATCATAAGTCACTTCGGCAAAATAGCAGGATACAAAATAAACCCACAAAAATCAGTTGCCTTCCTATACACTGATAACGCACAGGAAGAGAGGGAAATAAAGGGAGCAACCCCATTCACAATAACCTCCCAAAAAATAAAATATTTAGGAATTAACCTAACCAAAGATGTAAAAGAACTATTTAATGAGAACTATAAAAAGTTAAAGAAAGAAATTGCAGAAGACACTAGGAAATGGAAAGACCTCCCATGCTCCTGGATAGGCCGACTTAATATAGTAAAGATGGTGATACTTCCAAAATTAATATACAAATTCAATGCAATTCCTATTAAAATCCCAATGACGTACATCACTGAAATACAGAAAACAGTCCAAAAATTTATATGGAACAACAAAAGACCTAGAATAGCCAAAACAATTCTAGGGGATAAAGACAATATGGGAGGGCTATCCATGCCGAACTTCAAACTCTACTACAGAGCTATAATCACAAAGACAGCATGGTACTGGCACAAAAACAGACCCGAAGACCAATGGAACAGAATAGAAGATCCAGATATAAATCCACAGGCCTACAGCCAGCTGATATTCGACAAAGGAGCCAAAGACATACAATGGAAGAAACACAGCCTCTTCAACCGCTGGTGCTGGGAAAACTGGGCAGCCACATGCAGAAAACTAAAAGTGGACCCCAGCCTATCACCATGCACCAACATCAACTCAAAATGGATTAAAGACCTTAACATTAAACCTGAATCTCTGAAACTACTGCAGGACAGAGTAGGAGAGACACTTGAACTAATAGGCACAGGAAGGAACTTCCTGAACAGAGTCCCAGGGTCACAACAAGTTGGAGAGAGACTCGACAAATGGGACTACCTTAAAATAAAAAGCTTCTGCACAGCTAAATCTATCGCAACTAAGCTAGAAAGACAACCAACTAATTGGGAAAAAATATTTACCAGCAATATATCAGACAAGGGGTTAACATCCTGTATATACAGGGAACTCAAGAAACTAATCCCTCCCAAACCTAACAAACCAATTACTAAATGGGCAAGGGAACTAAAGAGGGACTTCTCAAATGAAGAAATAAAAATGGCAAAGAAACACATGAGGAAATGTTCATCATCCCTGGTGGTGAAGGAAATGCAAATAAAGACAACCCTGAGATACCACCTTACCCCAGTCAGAATGTCCCACATCCACAAATCAGCCAACGACAAATGCTGGAGGGGATGTGGAGAAAGAGGAACCCTATTACACTGCTGGTGGGAATGTACACTTATACAACCACTTTGGAAAGCAGTCTGGAGGGTCCTTAGAAAGCTAAAGATTGACCTCCCTTACGACCCAGTCATACCACTTCTAGGCATCTACCCTGAACAACAGGAACCAATATACAAGGACACGTGCACCTCCATGTTTATTGCAGCACTGTTCGCAATAGCTAGGATATGGAAACAACCTAGGTGCCCCACCACAGATGAATGGATCCAAAAATTGTGGTATCTATACACAATGGAATATTATGCAGCCATTAGAAATGACAAAATAATGGCATTTGCAGGGAAATGGATGGAGCTAGAAGGAATCATGTTGAGCGAGGTAAGCCAAGAACGAAGAGACAAACGGTACATGGTCTCCCTCATAAGTGGATGCTAAATCCAAAAGGTTAGTGATACGACAAAACTAACAGGACTTAAGAAACAAAGAACTCCCGCTCATCTGGTTGAACCACTACTAAATATCCTCATGCTGCTGATCACAAATATGGTATATAACATGTGAACACTGTTATATATTACAGACTGTGGTAGACAATTTGCTCCAGGGAAGTTAGAATGAACTTGTGACTTTGAAATTATGTAATCATTTAATCACAATCAAAAAAAAAAAAAAAAAAAAAGAACCTCGGGGAAGGGAGGGAGGGAGGGGATGGTAGGGGGAAAACAATGGAGGGGGTAACAATGTTCAAGAGGAAGTGTACTCATAACCTCACTCATGTAACTGTGACCCTCTGTATAGTAGCTTTACAATAAAAAAAAAAAAAAAGGTTAAAAAAAAAAAAAAAAAAAAGAGTCTCATGAACTTTCCTGCCCGGGCTGGCCTTGAACCAAGATCCTCAGATCTCAGCCTCCTGAGTAGCTAGGATTACAGGAATGAGCCACCAATGCCCGGCTTTATTTTTTTGGTTGGTTGTGGGGCTTGAACTTGGCCTGGGTGCTGTAATTTTTATGAGGGGAATTCTGGAACCACGGTTTTAGTTAAATAGAGACGTACGTTACGTCATGGGAGTTGTAAGATTCAAACATTAGTAGAAACAGCAAATACCACGTGTATCACACAGAAAGGAATGTTATGAAGAAACTGTACCTGATAATCCCATATTTTAACAAGCCGGTCATCTGCACCTGAAATGAGGTATGGCTTGTCACCACCGCTGTAGTAATCGATGCAGTTCACGCCTTTCTCGTGTCCCTCCAGAGTGAAGTTTGGTGAGGAGGAGCCGAGCTGCCACACCTGCAGAGAGCAACAGGGTCAAGTCACATCAGCCCTCTGGGATGGGAGACTCCCCCTTCCCCACCACACCCTTCTGATAGACCAGAGGACATGCCAAAGCCCAGCAGAGAGAAGCTAAGGAATGCTCTCTGATTCAGCTATTAGTTGATTTTCTTTCTCGATTCACTCGAACTTTTAGGAGGAAGAATCACTAATGCTTCCTGAAAACGCTGACTTCCAGGCTTTCTTCCTCACTGTGAATTTAGCTGGTGCTAAAACTTTAAAGCGATGTGATGGTTTTGTGGAAGGCTTATTACTATAAACCTAATGAGACTAGGTGTAGTTACATGTACTGGGGGGAGGGGGGAGGAAACACCACTTAATTGGAGAAATTTTAAATATTAATGAGTTTCACTGTTACAACTGAGTTCCCACAATTGTTCCACACAGAAAGGCCTGTGGGGAGCTTAGAGATAGGGAATAAAATGTTCACCATGCAAACATTTCTTGAGCCAAAGGTAACTCCTGTGCTCACAATAAACCTAATTTAGTAAAATTTAAAGCTAATTTCAAAGATTCCAACCTGTATCAAAAGGACAATTCCACAAATAGGGAGAGAAAAGGGAAGATCAGATATGAAACAGTTTGTGCAAGCTAGAGAGAAATTAATAAAAATGTTATATCTACATAAACAAATGTATAAGCAAAAGTGAATGTACTTTTAAGTTGATGCATTTAGACTTGTTTTAAATCTTATCATGGAAACTGGAGTTAACTGTTCTCACCACACTGAGCACCTGGTAGAGGGGAGACAGCTCTGTTTGCTGCTGAACATCTGCTTGGGAGCGGGAGGAAGCACACAGATCCTGCCCCAGACATCCAGTATTTTGGGGGTACAGACTTCCCCAAACAGGATAATCGTGACACCATGTAAGAAAGGGCATCGCAGAAGCAATGGGATGAATGAGGCGAGCAAAACCGAGTCTAGAGGCAGTGGGGCCTGACAGAATAGATTTTTACACTAAGTCCTCAAAGCTGGGTAGCTCTCCAGAGAAAAATAAATCAAACAGGTAGAGTTCTAAGGCTTGCAGGCAGAGGCAAGAGCTGGTGAAGGGAAGGTTCTATGGAAAATAGCAAAAACAGTTGTAGAGATTTCTCATAACATTAGACTAGCCCCACAATAAGGTCTTATTCCACACTGCAGCTTCTGGACTGTGGAATCGAAGCAGGCAGACAGCTGGGAGAGTAGGGGGAAAGGAAGGCTGGACGCTGACAGAATTTCAATACAAGAGAGAGATTAATGAGAGAGATCAACAGTGTATACACTAGCGGGAAAGGACAGAGAGGACTAAGAACTTTTCTAATTTGGTGTTTCTAGAGGCTAAAAATGTCTTACTGTGGATTGTGCCTCATAGAGAAATGTTCCTTCAGTAAAAGCAGAGCTGCCACAATATTCTTCTCAATAGAACAAGCCTTTCTGATCATGATGAGCTTCTGAAACAAACCTTAAGATGGCCAAGTTTACTTCACAAACACAGAGAACACGCACCTTGATGGTCCTGTCCAGAGATGCGCTGGCAAACTGGTTGTTATCTTTGGGGTTAATCACAATCTGCATTACGTAGTGTGTGTGGCCTTCAAACACTTGTGAGCAGGACCATTTTTTATCCCAGTCCCAGAGCTTAATAAGCATGTCATCTAGGTCAAAAGAAAGTCTCGAGTTAGCTGCAACGTAAGACTCAGAGAGAGTCTTTGGGCCAACCTAACTCAAATCTCACACTTCGTGACTTATAGAATAAAATCAAAATTGAAAAACTGCTCTCAATTCCTATCTATCCTAGGTACAAATTTAACTCTGTAGAAAAATGTAGATAAAATAAATTACTGACACAAATTCCATAAAAATAAAAGAACTAAGTGGGCTTCAAAGAATTATACAAACAATAATACAAGTTTTATTAGAATCTAAGTATAATTGAAACATGGTAATAACTATTGAGAGAATAAGTATGTGCTCTTTTAAGACTGGTAATAAACTCAATTTTGTGTGTATGTGTGTGCATGCTGGTATTGGGGCTTGAGCTCAGGGCCTGGGTGCTTTTTTTTCTTGGTGGATTGTAGGTGAACTCTGGGCCTGGGCGCTGTCCCTCAGCTCTTCAGCTCAAGGCTAGCGCTCTACCACCTCAGCCACAGTGCTGCTTCCAGTTTTCTACCCAGGCTAGCTTTGAATGGTAATCCTCACATCTCAGCTTCCTGGGTAGCTAGGATTATAGGCATGAGCCATTGGTGCCTGACAAGGGCCTAGGTGTTGTCCCTTAGCTTTTTCACTCAAAGCTGATGCTCTACCACTTGAGCCATAATTCCACTTGCAGCTTTTTGGTGGTTAACTGGAGATAAGAGTCTCTCAGATTTGTCTGTCTGAGTTGACTTCAAACCACAGTCAGGCGTGAGCCACTGGTGCCAGGCTAAAAGTTTTCAATTTTTAATTTGAGAGTGTTTCAAAGAGCTATTATCAGCTCAGCACTACTTGTTTTAATTATACTCCCCAAGGTCTACTGTTTCACACAGACCACCACGGAGCAAACTCATCTGAAATAGGGTAAGACAGCCACATCTGTGGCCATCAGCCAACTCACTCCTGAGCTTGTTAACAAGCTCTGTGTTCAGCAGAGGCTTCAACATCTAGACCTGCAGATCTTTTCTGACAGGATTCAAGCCACTGCTATACAATCCTAAATGCAGCTGATATTTCATTACAATACAAAAGCGAGCAGAATCAATAGCCCAGTAATGGACAAGAATGGCTTAAAGGCTCTGCCTGGAATTAGAAATCTACGTACAAGCCGGGCGCTGGTGGCTCACGCCTGTAATCCTAGCTACTCAGGAGGCTGAGATCTGAGGATCGCGGTTCAAAGCCAGCCCGGGCAGGAGAGACCGTGAGACTCCTATCTCCAATAAACCACCAGAAAACCGGAAGTGGCGCTGTAGCTCAAGTGGTAGAGTGCTCGCCTTGAGCTGAAGAGCTGAGGGACAGCGCCCAGGCCCAGAGTTCAAGTCCCACGGCCGACAAAAAAAAAAAAAAAAAAAGAAATCTACGTATAACAGCAGTTAAAGAATAGCCCAGTGTCACTGAAGGAAAATGGATTCCCCAGTGTGACCAAAAGAGGTCATCTCTTACCACTGCTAGTCAGAATGAACGGCTGGGTGGGATGAACGGCAATACAGCGGATGTAGTCCGAGTGTGCTTCAAACATATGAACTCTCTCCAGGGTGTTGTAATTGAACACTCTGATCTGCATGTCATCCTGGCAGTGGGAATGAAAAAGCCATCACCATTGCTGTAGTGAGCTGAATGAAAGATTAACTCCCATGCTTCAAATCAGTCACTAAAATGAACACATCAGGACACTGCAACTAGCTTACACCACTGCTGACCAACTCAAGATTCGTGACTTTTAATTACGTACCGCTCCGGTGACAACCCAGTTCTTCCTTGCGACGAATTTGGCGGCTCGAACAGGAAGGTCACACACTTCAAACGTTTTCACCAGGGTCTTCAAAATTGAACAAGAACATATACACTGAGTTATGAGAAAATAACTGAAAAATCTGTCTGCTGTACTTAAAACACCTGAGTTAGATCACCTCTAAAATGCTCAGCCCAAATGATGAAAATCCAACATGAAAATAAAAGACCAATCACCTGTCCTTTAACAGGTCTGAAAAGAAGACATTAAAACAAGTAGGCAATGTCTCCGAGAGTGTCCCAGGTCTTCATGCTCTGGCCCTTCTCCCTCTCCACCTCAGCCTCTTTCCTTTGGCTACTCCCAGTCTCATCTTTACTCCTGGCCCTCTCCCTGGAAAACCTACCCATGGAAACTTGCTCCCTTTGTAACCATACGCCATGATTATGCGATTAACTTCACTCTTTCTCTCAGCTCAACAAAGATATAGATCATCTCCACCATGCATCCCAAGAACTGGTGTGTGGTGTATTTCTGAGCCAGAAATGACTCAAACAAGACATCCATCTGTATCCATATAGAGTAGTCAACAAGCCAGTTACAGAACAGCACTGAACTGTGCCTTCATTGGCACAAATGTGGTTGCCACAGCCTGGCAGCCAAGCTTCTAGCGAAGAGGAAAAGCTACGTGCTCAAAAACAACCAACACCCAATGTCAGTTAGAAAATAAAGACTTCTGTTGGATGCCCGTGTCTCATGCCTGTAATCCTAGCTATTTAGGAGGCTGAGATCTGAGGATCACAGTTTGAAGCCAGCCCAGATAGAAAAGTCCTCTTGGGGCTCTTATCTTCAATAAACTACTCAGAAAAAGCTGAAAGTGGTGCTGTGGCTCAAATGGTAGAGTGCTCGCCTTAATCGCAAAAAGGCTCAGGAACAGCACCCAGGCCTTAAGTTCAAGCCCCAGGACTGGCAAAAAGAAAAAAAAAAAAGCACTTGACGAGAAATTCTGAATTAGCGATGGCCTTACTCTAGCAACTCAACAAATACTGAGCACTTACTATGTGCCAGGCAATGTCATCAGCCCTGAATGTGGCAGAGGACAGCACACTGCAGAATGGGCTGGAGGTGGTCACTGTGGTACCACTGCAGTTAGTGTAAGATGTACAGGTGCTTTAGGTTAACTCCTGGCCGTGGATCTCTGATCCTATTTTTGCCATCTTAAAATTCCTTAATTTTGAGTTTTATCTAGATTTCCAGAATTTCACTCTGGAAGCTGGGACTAACAACTCCGTAAGTAAATACATAACTGTATAGGTCAGTGCTACCAATATGCTATCTGGTTTGAAGCAAAAAATATTAACAGACTGTGACAAATGCAAGATAGGCTGGCTTGCAGCTCCCTTACATACGTAGGGGAAACAATGTGGCCTGCAGTGAGCACACTGCAAGAGGCAGACTCCAGGATGTCACCAGAAGTGACATACTGACATGACAACAGGTATTTCTGTGTGGTTGAAGCTTCCTGCTATCATTATATTTGGAAAAAGAAAAATAAGTGAAAATAAAAATTCTAATGATACAAGAGTCACAATAGAAAATTAACTATGAACTAACAGTATTAACTTTATCTAATGCAAGCCGTCAGGTTCCTCACTCAACACCCTGTGTACGTGACATGTCCCACACAGCTCTTCCAGGAGCTAGCCCTCACTGTTGGGAATGCAGGCAGCACTTGGCTGCAGGATCACTGTCAGAGCTCTTCTACTGACTACCCAGTATTTTGCTCCTAATAAACACCTCGCGAAGTCCCACCTGGGTTTCATGGTTCCAGACGCACACGCTGCCATTGTAGAGACTCGCCAACATCCATGGCTCTGTGGGGTGCAAGTCCACACTCTTCACGCGGTCTGATCTAGCAGTCAGCTTTCTCTTGATATCAAGGCGGAGAGGCTATGGAGACGACAAGAAGAAAACTAAATTGCTGAGTCAAACAAAACATGTCAGTGAGAGCTCAACTACAAACCCTGTATTAATAGGCCTATAAACTGTGTGTGTTTGGTAGTAGGTGTGTGTGTGTGTGTGTGTGTGTGTGTGTGTGTGTGTGTGTGTGTGTGTGTGTGTGTGTGTGTGTGTGTGTGTGTGTGTGTGTGTGTGTGTGTGTGTGTGTGTGTGTGTGTGTGTGTGTGTGTGTGTGTGTGTGTGTGTGTGTGTGTGTGTGTGTGTGTGTGTGTTAGTACCAGTACAGGAGCTTGAATTCGGGACCTCACATTTTTGCCCATTAGCTTTTGGATTCTACCACTTAGGACCAACTCCGGCCTCTCCACTTCAGACTTTTTGCTCGTTTGCTGGAGTGTCTTTGCCCGCCCCCGGCAGACTTCAAACCTCAATCCTCAGATCTCGGCCTCTTGAGGAGCTAGGATTACAGATGTGAGCCACTTCCCAACTCTGTGGTAAATTTGCTGTGTCCAAAAACAAGCACCAAACACCCATCTCCACACCAATGGGAGTCAGAAAAATGAATGATCATTTCTGAAAGAACAGGACTTTCTTCTATACCACATTTAACTTCTGGAAGCAACAGATTCTTAAAAGATACACTTCAGAATCTGAAACCACATCAATGAACTGTTTATACTGTTAAATTCCAGTGCTTCTAGTGGGTCTTTTACTCCTGCCTGATTTGAATTGGTTCACAGGCATGGAAGTTTTGCAAATGTTGACATATCGTTAAACTGTATCACTACCCCGCCCACTTCTACTTTCATTAGAAATCCATACAATTCAAGGATAGTAGATATTCACTTGAAAGCTCTAACTTTATCAGCAACAAATACCGTAAGGGGAACTAGTAAACTTCTTTCAGTTTTAGAATATGTCTACCCAATAATCCAGTCTCAGCACCCTTGTCATTGTTTCTAGTGAGTCTTGCAACAACCTTTTTCTTAACCATCACACTTTCTTGTTTCACCAATGCCTTACTGAAAAGTATGGCAGCCAAAAATATAGTATTGACAGGCTGAGGCAGGAGGATTTCAAGTTCAAAGCTAGTCTGAGCTCCATAGTAAGTCTGAGGCCAGCTTGGACTCTTATCTACTTGTATTTATGAGGCCACCCTGGAATCACTAACTCCCCTTCCCTCCCTCCCTCCTTCCCTCCCTCCCTCTCCTTCTTCCTCTTCCCCCCCTCCTCTTTCCCCTTCCTCCTCCTCCTCTCTCTCCTCTCCGGCCTGCATTCTCTCTCTAACTGCCTACCAGACCAGCTTTATATGTATCTTTTTCTTTTCCCAGTATGATTTGGTGCTCAGATGAGCAGGTTTTCCTTCTATACCACCAGTCAGTATTAAAAAGAAAGAAAGAAAGAAAACAGCTGACATAGCATCTTTCTATCTGTGTGTGCTAGTCCTGGGGCTTGAACTCAGGTCCTGGGTGCTATGTGTGAGCTTTTTTGCTCAAGGCTCGCATTTTACCACTTGAGCACAGCTCCAATTGAAGTCTTTCGGTGGTTAATTAGAGAGAAGAGTCTCATGGACTTTCCTGCCTGGGTTAACTTTGCACCACGATCTTCAGATCTCAGTCTCCTGGGTAGCTAGGGTAACAGCTACTGTGAGCCACTGTGCCCGGCTGATTGAATATTAGTATGAGAAAAATGCTTCAATCTGTGGACCTCTTACAAGAGTAACAGGGACTTCTAAGGGGCTGCAGATCACACTTAAGTGCCTGTAGTTTATAAACTATTAAACAAATTTTACTTTCTAGATCGTAACTGTGCCAAAGTCACAGGTGTATTAGAGAATATTACTCATTGTTATTCATGAAACCCTAGAATTATATAGTAACCATAATATTAAATTGGCTATTCACAGAAGAGCCGTTTTAGCAAAAATTATTAGTAAATGCTAGCTAGGTACCTAGTGCATGACTGATGAGTCCATGTAGGTCTCTGGAGTCAAAGGAAATGTCTGTACTATTTTAATGAGTAACTTACAAAAACCCACCGAACAATTTTAAACAAAAATATTTTCTAGACATGAAACTGTAAGCTTAAAACAGCCCTTTTCAACCAGATTCCCTTTCTGCATACCAAAATAGAAAATAACTTATCTTCTCAGTTCTCTCCAGGATGCCATTCTAGAAGAAACATTAATTTGTTGCAGATCATGATGCCCTAGGGCCAACAGGTTTAAATGTCTTGGCAGGCAAGCTGAAAAAAGACCAACTTATACTACATTTCCAGCTGGGCCCTGGTGGCTCATGCCTGTAATCCTAGCTACTCAAGAGACTGAGATCTGAGGATTATGGTTCAAAGCCAGCCAGGGCCAAAAAAAAAAAAAGGTCCAGTGAGACTCTTATCTCCAATTAACCACTCAAAAACCAGAAGTGGTCCTATGGCTCCACGTGATAGAGCACTAGCCTTGAGCAAAAGAGCCCAGGCCCTGAATTCAAACCCCATGACCCACAAATAAAATAAAAATAAATTCCCTTCAACAGGTCTTAAACACAAGCTAACAGCTTCTCTGGCAAGTCTGAGATCCTATCCTGTCCCCATGCTATGCCCTTCCTGGAATGCGGCAGAAATGGAAGGTCACTTTTCCATGTAAAGTGAAGACCTATCTAGCAGAGATGAACACTATCCTGAGCCGATCACCTCACAGGCGTCCTGCTTGTCTATCAATTCTGGGTCACTGATACTTCAGACTTGCTTTTAACTTCTCTACACACCTCCGTCACCGTTAGGCACAACTTTTACCTTACAGGGTCTGAGTTCTCTAACTCATCAATTGCCTCAAAAATGTTCCCACTGTTTTATCTTTCTGTCCTAAAACTTCCTAGCTGTCATGTAGCCATTGCTGATTTAAGGACAGTGGAACCTTTTACTTTAAACATCCCAGACTTTTTCCCCCCTACTAATGAATATCACAAATTTTAACTATTTTTTTTCTGGACTCCTCCAAGCCAATAAACACAAAGTGTCTGTGCCAGGAACCTTGGTGGCAGCCACTACATAATACTTTCCTTCATTAACCATGTAAACCATGCATTTTGTCAAAAAGCAATGTTGATTGCTGGGTAAAAATGATGCTTCAGAAAGTGGACCAGGAACTCCGAACAACCTCAACATACTTCCACAGCACACACCCCAGTTATTAAAAAAAAAAAAAAAAAAAGAAGTCCATTAATACATCTACATGTAGAAAACTGGATCCTTGTTTGTCACCATGCACCAATATCAATTCAAAGTGGATCAATGTCAGACCTGAAACTTTGAAACTATTTCAAAATGGAGTGGGAGAAACCATAGAACTTATAAGAATAGGCAGGAACTCTTTGAAAAAAAGTCCCAGGGGCACAGCATACAGGAGAGAGAGAAATGGGATAAATGATAAATGGGATTGCATCAAAATAAAAAAATTCTGCACAGCAAAGGATCCAGTTGCTAAACTAGAAAGACAGCCAAAAGGGGCTGGGAAGGTGGCTCAGTAGCACAGCGCTTGCCTTGCAAGCCTGAGGCCCTGGGTTCGATTCCTCAGCACCACATAAGCAAAAAGAAAAAAGCCGGAAGTGGCGCTGTGGCTTAAGTGGTAGAGTGCTAGCCTTGAGCTGAAGAGCTGAGGGACGGCGCCCAGGCCCAGAGTTCAGGCCCCACGACAGGACCTCCCCACACACACACAAAAAAGAAAGACAGCCAACAGCCAGGTGCCATTGGCTCATGCCTGTAATTCTAGCTACGCAGGTGGCTGAGGTCTGAGGATCCAAGTCCTTGAGACTCTTATCTCCAACTAACCACCAGAAGACTAGAAATGGCTCTGTGGTTCAAAGTGGTAAAGCACTAGCTTTGAGTGAAAAAGCTCAGGGACAGCAAGCTCCATGACCGCCCTCCCCGCCACCCCCCACCCCAAGCCAACAGACTAGAAGATCTTTACCAGCAATCCACTGGACAAAAGCCTAACATCCAAAATATACAAGAAGCTAAAAAATTAACACCCCCACAAAACTAATAAACCAATCAATAAATAAGCAAAGAAGCTAAAGAGAGACTTCTCAGAAAAATGGTAATGCCTGAGGAAATGCTCAATATCCCTGCCCATAAAAAAAAATGCACATCAAAACAACTGAGATTCCATTTCACCCAAACTGGCCAACATAGTGAATTCAAATAACAACAAATGCTAGTGGGGATGTGGAGAAAAAGAAACCCTATTGCACTGTTGGTGGCAATGCAAACTAGTCCAATGACACAAAAAGCAATTGGAGGTTCCTCAAAAAACTAAACATAGAACTTCCCTATGACCTGTCTGTACCACTCCAGGGCATATACCCCAACAATACAAGTCAGGATATGGTAAAGCAATTTGTATATCCATGTTTATTGCTGCACTATTCACAACTTAAGGACACAGCCTAGATGCCCTACAATAGATGAGTGGATCAAGAAAATGTGGCACATATACACATTTTTACTAATCCATCAGAAAGAACATTAAGTTATTTGTAGGGAAATGGATGGACCTATAACAAATCAAGTTACATTAAGTTAGTCAAGCTCAGAGAAACAAACTGTTATTTTCTCTCATATGTGGAAGCTAGATCTAAAATACAAGTGGACATGATAACTTATACAGACGCTACACATTCACAAAAATTGACTAAAGGAGGATGCACCAAGGGAGAAACCCAAAGGTGCAACTCCTTTAAACATTTAAAATAATATTAATCAGCTGGGCGCCGGTGGCTCACACCTGTAATCCTAGCTACTCAGGAGGCTGAGATCTGAGGATCGAGGTTCAAAGCCAGCCCAGGCAGGTAAGACTGTGAGACTCTTATCTCCAAGAAACCACCAGAAAATCAGAAGTGGTGCCGTGGCTCAAGTGGTAGAGCACTAGCCTCGAGCTGAAGAGCTGAGGGACAGCACCCAGGTCCAGAATTCAAGCTCCACAACCCACACACAAAAAAATTATCAAAATGAATTCCAGGAAATGGAAACATAGTTTTTGTTGTTGGTGGTGGATGGGGGTGGGGCAAAATAGGGGCACAGAAAGAAGGGTGAGCAAATACAGTAATAGTATTCAGTATACACGATGTGGAAAATGAACTATGCAACTGTGGACAGGGACAGGAGGAAGAAACTAGGGGGAAACAAAGCGGTTACACTGCCAAAAAAAGAAATGTACTCGTGACCTGACATGAAATGGAAACCCCTCTGTGCACCACCAAATAACCATGTAACTACAATTCAAAAAACCGACCATCACTTCAGGGAAGCGCTTCTGCTCTAACACTCCCTTCAACATGTCAGTGACGACTTTTTTGTACTTTGGGACCCAAAGGATTAGGTGTTCACTGAATCAGCTCCCAATGTCTCCTTCCATCTTGAAGATGGACCATTCACAGCTTAAATGCTCCTTGCACCAACAGTTCTCTGGTTATCCTAAGGGAATATCCCTAACGTTCACCAGTTTCCCCCAGGGATCAACTTTTGTTTCATCCCAGCTCCCCTACAAGTAGCTTTGTACAAATGTTAATGTTTTAACTGGAAAATAAGACATTTCTAATTCTTGTTCCTTGTAGTCTCAAGCTCCAAACCTTTGCTCATGCTTCAGAACAAGTATAAAAAAAGGAGAAAAAAAATATTCAAATATCAAAATTCTGACTTTAGCTGGGCAGAATCCTAGGTATCCCGGAAGATGAGGTCTGAGAGGATCCTGCTTCCAGGCCTGCCCTGCCAAAACGTTAGTGAGACACCACCCCTCCCTCCTCCCCACTCAACCGATAAAAGCTGGGTGTAGTGATTCAAGCTCACACAGGAGAAGCGCTTCCAGGCTCATTTGGGCAAAAAGCAAGACCCTATTTGAAAATTGACCAAAGTGAAAAGGGCTGGTGATTTGGCTCAAGAGGTGGTGCACCTGGGGGTGAAAAGCAACACTCAATTTGAAAATTAACCCAAGTAAAAAGACTGGTGTGGTGTGGTAGTGGTGGAGCGCCTGCTCTCAGTACCACTATATACCATTACATACATACACTTACACGTACACAGATTCCCATAACGGTTTCGGTAAAGGTATCCTTACCGTCTTGCATTTTCTCCTTTATTACCTTAACGCTCTGCTGCAACGGTATTTGGGGTTGGGGGTGGGGGGCAAGGCGCATGTTCGAGAGCGAGAGTATTTTTTCATGAAAACCTGCTGCCACGCCGGGCGCCGGTGGCTCGCGCCTGTCACCCCAGCTACTCAGGAGGCTGAGCTCTGAGGGTCGCGGTTCAAAGCCAGCCCGGGCATCAAAGTCCGTGAGACTCTGAGCTCCAATGAACCACCAGAAAACCGGAAGTGGCGCTGTGGCTCAAGGGGTAGAACGCTGGCCTTGGGCTGAAGAGCTGAGGGACAGAGACCAGGCCCAGACCGACAACAACAACAACAATTCCGCTTTGCAGTCAGTCCGTCCGTCGGTCCGTCCGTCCACCCACCATCGCTCGACATTTCAAAGAACCAGCCCCACCTGGAGGGCCCGACCCGAGTCGCCGTTTCACGGTAGAATTCGGGGTTTTACTGCGCCCACCACCCAAAAAAAAGCTGTTTTCGGCGTCTCGACCTTCCCGCACACCACCGGCCCCAGGGCCGCGCGGCCGCGGGCGAGGGGGGCCGGGGGGCCGGGGACCCCCCCCCGACTTCCACAGGCAGGGCCTCAGGCCGGGCCGCGCCCGGCGTCCTCCGGGCCTCACCGCCACGTCAGGCCGCGGCCCGCGGAGCCGGCCAGGGCCGCGCGGGGCTCCGCTGGGGCCTCCACCTACCATGGCGGCGTGGGTCCGAGCCCCGGCGCCCTCGCTGGCTCCCGGCGACGCAGCTTCCTCAGAGACCCGCCGGCGGCGCTGACCGGTCGCCCACACTGACGTGGAACTTCCGGGAGTCCGTTCTCGCGATCGTCTGAGGGCTCCCGCGAGATTTAAGACGAAGCGCCTGCGCACAGGGTTTCCCCAGCCCCCGTCGTTTCCCCCCGCCCCCGTCGCCTAGGCAACGCGGCCTGGGAGGACGCCGGAAGCCGGCCTGGAGTAGCTCGGCGGTGTGCTGACCGAGTCCGCGAGTGGACTTGGGTCGGAACGCTGCGGGAAATGAAAGGACGGAGGAACGCCCGAGAGGAAGCGCCGAGAATTGCTGGGCTGTGTGGCCTGGGAGGAGGCGCGGAGTGGGGAGGGGGAGCAAGCCGGGCCGGAGCACTGGGGTGCCCCGTGGGGTCCCTGCGCGCCCGGGCCGGGGGGGGGGGGTACCCCGGGCCGGGGGGGGGGGGGCACGTACATCTCACCCCCGAACTACCTCCATTTCATGGATGAGTGTCCTAAGTGGTGGCGTGGGGATTTGAACTCAGCTCCGTAGGGAGCATCCCCTCGGTTAAGGCGGCTGGATTGCAGGAGGGCCTGGGACGTGCCAAGTGCAGCCGCCTGACGCCCTGCGCCCTCCTTTTTATTTATTTGCTCGGTCGTGGGGCCTGAACTCTGGGCCTGGGCGCTGTCCCTCAGCTCTTCAGCTCCAGGCGAGCGCTCTATCACTTGAGCCACAGCACCACTTCTGGGCTTTTCTGCTTTTGTGATGCTGAGGAATCGAGCCCAGGGCCTCATGCATGCGAGGCAGGCGCTCTACCCCTGAGCCACCTTCCCAGCCCTTTTATTTTTAAAAAGCCCAAAACAACAACAGCAAAAACCTTGGCTATGTAGGAACCTGCGCTTCTGACCCGAGAGAGGCCTTGCTTTCTGTGTGCCGTGTATGTAGACATGGATTCTTAACCAAGTAATTTGGTTTTGTTTCTTTCTTTTTTTTTTTTTTTTTTTTAGAGAAGCCTTCTAAGCTGGGTGTCAGTGGCTCAGGCCCATAATCCTAACTACTCAGGAGGCTGAGGTCTGAGAAGCTCGGTTTGAAGCCAGCCTGGGCAGGAAAGTCTGTGAGACGTTTCTCCAGTTAACCACCAAAAAGCCAGAAGTGGAGCTGTGTGGCTCAAGTGGTAGAGTGCTAGTCTTGAGCACATGAGCTCACAGGCAGTGCCCAGGCCCTGAGTTGTTGTTCAAGTATCAGGAACGCACACACAAACACCTACCAGGAGCCTTCTAATTTGATGTCTTGGTGTGGGCCTCAGTTTTCCTTCACCCTAAAAATAACATACTGGGTAAGATCCATTTTTTACAATCCTGTGTCTCAGCAATGTCACATTCAGCTAGAAGAGCGGGCCTGGAATTGGGCTTGAATGCGGGGAGCAAGATTTATGTAACTGGGACTAATAATTGCACACTTCCCCTATTCTTTATTTTTGTTTGTCTCACGCTTAGTATATATATATATATATATATATATATTATATTTGGATCAATGTGTTTTGATTCAACATGTCAGTTTCAGAGTACAATGCTTCTTGACCAGTGTCACTTTTTTTTGTCATTCTCATCTCTCAATCTCAACTGTCCTTCTGAAGATACCTGACTCCATTTTCACCTACATACATTGAATATTATACCTGCACCCGCCCACTCTTCTCTCCATTTTTCTGCCTTCTCTCCCTTTCACCTGAGGACCACAGGACTTGGTTGAAATCGTTTGAACTGTGAACTATACCCAACTTGCCTAAAGAATGGAGCATCCCTTATTTTTGTTTCCCCAATTCTCTTGCAATTGAGTATTGGGGGATTTGATACAGCCATAAAAAGTTACAAAAAAGTAATACAAAGTAAAATGATACACTGTGTCTATACTTAAGGTACCCAAGGATTTGTGAGCTGGGGTTGGTAAAGAGCTTACCTCCTAGGTGTCCTTCTGACTTTTACTCTCTTCAGATTTTCCACTGCAATTAACCAGCATTCAGTTCTGCAGTTCTGGATGATAAATTAATAATTTAAGCCACTAAATACTGAATTTGTACTATATAACAAGTACTAGGTAGATGCTTCCTTAAGATAATACTTAACACCCTGGCCTCAGATAGTGGCTGAAAAAAAGTTTTAAAGAAAATTCTCGAAATATTAACTAATACATAAACTAACATTTAATAAATATACGTATAGCCCTCCATGTTCAACCAAGGGCTTAAAATGAAATCTCTTGTTTACTCTTTGGCTTTAGAAGAGACTCAAAGGTTAGGAAAATAGCTCTGGGGAAGAGAAGAAATAAGGACAAAGCTTAGCAAATTGGTAAAGGGTTTCCCAAGAGGCTGAGTGCAATTGATCAACAGATCTTAAAATCTTAGCTGGTCAATTTCTAGGCTAGCTGTGTCTCAGACCTGCCTTTTTTCTGCTGCTTAGAATATCTGGTGGGGAATTCTGGCAGCAGTGCCTCTCAGTGCCATATAAGCACCTTCCTCTCCCCACTACTACCTCCCCATTCATATAGAGGAAATGAAAGGAATTCTTTGAGGTAATGTCTAGTACTGTTTGCATGGCTCAAATGGTAGCAAGTGCAAGGCCCTGAATTCAAATTCCAGTACAGCCATAGAAAGAGAAATTATTAAAGAACTGGAAGTTGAAAATATAAACCATTTCACCAGAAGGTGAATGAAGGCAATGAAGAGTCCAATGTGGATATGAGACATGACACTGCAGGTAGGTTGACTGTTCTTGCATTTAGTGAGTGGTTGACATTTGATTTCTTTCTTTCTTTTTGCCAGTCCTGGGGTTTGAACTCAGGGCCTGGGCACTGTCTCTGAGCCTCTTTTGTGCTCAAGGCTAATGCTCTACCACTTGAGCCACAACACCACTGCTGGCTTTTTTGGAGTAGTAGAGACAAGAGTGTCATGGGCTTTTCTGCCTGAGGTTGGTTTTGCACCACGATCCTCAGATCCTCAGATCTTGAGTAGCTAGGATGACTGGTGTGAGCCAGCAGCGCCCGGGGACATTGATTCCTTTATGAATAATCAAAGTGGGTGTCAACCATGAAACAGAGCTTGTCCATACGGGTGGGAAATACCCAAGCACACATCAAGAGGGGAATTGCAGAAAGTTCCAGTTCTCCAGAAACCAAGGAGTAATTCTAGCATGCCTGGACCAGAGAATAAAGGAGAGGAACAAAAGGTGGTACTGGAAAGATGGATAAGGTACCCTTCTCAAGGTCTGTGATGGTCAGTTTAGGGAGGCTGGACTTCACCCTGAAGGCTCCGGGAACCAGGGAAGAATGCAAAGGCTCTGCAAGTGCTCCTCGTGCTTCACTGCCATTTAATGCCAAATGTCAGTTGCTTTCCGGTTAGAAGAAAGATTCTCAGCTGGATTCCTGCATTAGGCCTACAGAAGTAAATGTTTTGACCACATGATTACATACCAGCTTATCAGTTAAGAGAACTGAAAAAAAACACCCTTTCGAGGATGGAGATGTGATGTGCTTGCTGAATTGCCTAACACTCAAAGACAGACCTGACCTTGAGAAGCTAGTGTGTGTGTGTGTGTGTGTGTGTGTGTGTGTGTGTGTGTGTGTGTGTGTGTGTGTGTGTGTACTGGGACTTGAACCCAGTACCTAGGCACTTTCCTTTAGTATTTTTTCCTACTCAAGGCTGGTGCTGTACCACTTGAGTCACCCCTCCACACACCACTTCTGTGTTTGTACTGATTAACTGGAGAAAATAATCTCTCGGATTGGGAGAAAAGAAAGAGGGGACACTGTTCAAAAAGAAATATACATACCTATGACCTGACTTATGTAACTGTAACCCCTCCGTACATCACCTGTACAATAAAATTTAATCTTATAAAAAGAGTCTCTCAGGGGCTGGGAAGGTGGCTCAGTGGTAGAGCGCTTGTCTTGCATGCCTGAGGCCCTGGGTTCGATTCCTCAGCAGCACATAAGCAAAAAGAAAAAAGCCGGAAGTGGCGCTGTGGCTCAAGTGGTAGAGCGTTAGCCTTGAGCTAAAGAGCTGAGGGACAGCGCCCAGGCCCAGAGTTCAGGCCCCACGACTGGACCCCCCCCAAAAAAAAGTCTCTCAGATTTGTCTACTTGGGCTGGCTTTGAACTAAGATCCTCCAGTCTCAGCCTCTTGAGGAGCTAGGGATAAAAGGCATGAACCGCCGGGATAGGATAGCTAGGGATAAAAGGCATGAACCTCAGGACAGGAGTCCTGTGGCATAAGGACCAGGAAGAGAGGCCCAGAGTGCAGGGGACACAGAAGTCCGCAGTGAGCCTCTGCTCAACCAAGCTTTTGCTTTCTTGTCAGAGAACAGATTTCATCAACTTTTCCAAAACCACAATAAGTTTAGAGTAATTCTGTTTCCTTAAGAATTACGTCCTTGCAAGTGACAGCAGTGCATAAAAATAAATGAATAATGATAAATCGCCTGGGTATCTGGCATTGAGCAGTTACCTTTAAATTAGTTGGGAAAAAATTTAATATAAAAGTGAAATATCTGGACTGACAAGGCGCTGCGCGGTATAATCGCCAGCCAATTGCCGCATTCCACTTTTTCTTTTGGAGAATTTGTCAGCTCAAGTTGATCTAAGGACATACTGGGTTTGAATTCAAATGTAGACCAATTCCCCCCCCCCCCCCCCACACACACACCAAGGTTTAGAAATGAGAACTCTGTAGGCTCTGAATTCATGACTTGGCTTTTCTCTAGGCCAGGCCTGATTAAGCTTTATGTCTGTGGATCTTTTCATTTAATATCATGGTGGCTGTAGGTTGATGGTATTTGGAAGTGGTTTTCTTCAGAAAGAGATTGTTTCGTTGGCCATGTTTTGGTGTACCCTTCCAAAAGAATGAATTTGAATATAATATAGCCTCGACAAGATTCATAAATGAAGTGAAATGTAGCATTCATTTCATGTTTGTGTATGTGTGTATGTCTGTGTGTGAGTGCCAGTACTGGTACTTGAACTCAGGGCTTTGCGTTCTCACTTGACTTTTCCACTCAAAGCTGGAGCCACAGCTCCCCTTCAG